GAGAGATTAGTGCACTTTCCTAAACCAGAACCTAAGCCTGATGCACTTTCGTCACCAATTTTTATTTTCACTTTTTAAATTTTGAAGACAGACAAAATATTGTTAATTAGTTAGTTCGAAATAAAAAATTAAGAAAAAATATAAAATAATAAGTAATGAATTAAATAATTAATTCAAGTAAAAGTATAAAATAGAAAAATAAATTAAATTAACAAATAAAAAACAAAGTAAAAAAACATAAGCAGAATAAAAAAGAAAAAGAAATCAAATATAAAGCTAATAAATAAATAAATTAAAAGAGTTAGCTAGCTAAATTGTTGTAAATTCATTTTTATATTAAAAAAATTGCAATCAACAAGTAAACTGTTTATACCGAAGATAAAGTGTCAAATCTGAGAGATTAGTGCACTTTCCTAAACCAGAACCTAAGCCTGATGCACCTTTGTCACCAATTTTATTGTAACTTTTTAAATTTTGAAGACAGACAAAATATTGTTAATTAGTTAGTTCGAAATAAAAAATTAAGAAAAAATATAAAATAATAAGTAATGAATTAAATAATTAATTCAAGTAAAAGTATAAAATAGAAAAATAAATTAAATTAACAAATAAAAAACAAAGTAAAAAAACATAAGCAGAATAAAAAAGAAAAAGAAATCAAATATAAAGCTAATAAATAAATAAATTAAAAGAGTTAGCTAGCTAAATTGTTGTAAATTCATTTTTATATTAAAAAAAATTGCAATCAACAAGTAAACTGTTTATACTTAAGATTAAGTGTCAAATTTGAGAGATTAGTGCACTTTCCTAAACCAGAACCTAAGCCTGATGCACCTTCGACACCAATTTTATTTTCACTTTTTAAATTTTGAAGACAGACAAAATATTGTTAATTAGTTAGTTCCAAGGAAAAAATTAAGAAAAAATATAAAATAATAAGTAATGAATTAAATAATTAATTCAAGTAAAAGTATAAAATAGAAAAATGAATTAAATTAACAAATAAAAAACAAAGTAAAAAAA